CAAAATAAAATTCCGGTACACAACAATTCCTGTAGCGGGTCCCACCCGGGACCGTCCGGCTTGAAAAATGGAAAAATGACAAAATGGCAACCATTGCATTCCAAGAGTCCTGAATTCAAAGAAATTCCCCAACGGGCCCAACCAACTCTCGGACACACCCGGTACACTCCACAGTGTCCGGCACGCAAAACGAGAAAAGACGAAAATACCTTAGAAAAATAAAAAAATTTCAGAAAATAAAAATGGCAAAAATCGGAAATATTACACTACATATAACACTTGCCCTCTCCACACCGAGGCGATGTGAGATTGTGCATCTGTAACTCGCCTAGTATGGTAGCCTACTGATGCCACCTGCACACGCTCACACACACCACGCCCACAAGGTCACCACATAAATTCTCTAACTTAAAAATTCTCTCATCTCTAGAAAATGTACATCTGTGTTGATGTAAAACTGATTGTGTTGAATTATGTTATTTCTCATAAAATAACTTATTGTTTGTGAGAAGAACTTGTTCACACAATTTTGTGGCTATTCAGGTGTGCTAGCATGCTAATGTCATTGACTTGGATGAAAGGTGTTTTGAATCAATAGTTTTATCCAGTTTGGTCCTGAAAAATACCTAGGTGTAAATGAAGAGGAATATTATGTTAAAATTGGTTGAATCTTAGTTCAGTATGAATCCTTATGGTCCAACAAATTTATGGGGGTGTGGTTATAAGCCATGGACTAATAATAAAAAATTTGGGGTATCTCTAAAAGAATTTCATGATGTCTAATATTAGTCTTATTCATAAACAAATTAAAAACATTGCAAATCGTAAACACCCAAAGTTATCTTACACAAAAACAAGTAGCTCAATCATATTCATCATCTGGTTCAGACGAATCACTATCTTCTTCTTCATCTTCATCCAAGAAATCGTCGTCGTCATTGTCGTCATGATGACCTCCTCCTCCTAGAAGATCACTTGTCCACTTAAATCTCCTATAATATTCCTGATGAGGAAAAACCATCATATCATAGAAGGAAAGATTGTGCTTCTCATAAGACCAATAATGGCTGCGGTATCCTATCTCATCATCATCAGCATCAGCATAACATTTTCTTTTACCCTTATCGATTGCATGGCTGGGTACTGTCTCATTATCATCATCATCATCATCATCGCGCTTTCTTTTGCCTTTGTTCCCGACTTGGTTGTATCCTTCATCAAAGACAACAATAGCATTATTATTATCAGATGAAGATTTAAATTGGTTCACTTCTTCACTAATGTCCATTATGGCATGCTTCTGAGCTTTAATATACACCGGTATGACCCCATACTTCTTCACAATAGCATCGCAACCTGGATCTATTGCAACATTCACCTCATCTCCGCCATTCACCTCGAATTTTTTGAGGGGCACATAGCCCAATGATAAGTGATCATGCGGGGTGGCTATTAAAGGATAAATAGGAACACGAATACAGGTTTTAGCAAAGCACTTAGTTACATTGTGGACAAAAACAATAGATTTCGATCTTGCACCAGTCGTTTCTGTAATTTTGAAGTCGTGCGCTGCGTATATAACACATAAAACCAAGCCCTTCATCTTACGCATATTTGGAGGAACCAAAAATGACAACGCATCACTTGTGCTCTGATGGCCAAACCATTCTGGAATTTCAGACCAAGGGATTAAAATCTCATCGAAGTTATTACCCCCATATCCTCCATATCATCTCTGTAATAATGAGAAAGAGGATGTGTGAGCTAACATACAGATAAATACTTGCATATGCAACACTTTTATTTTAATAATGCAAGTTATGAGGATGGGCATTGTCAATTTAAGATAATGGTATCACACCTTGAACATAATGGGTGTTGCATCCTCGAAAAAATGGGTGATTTTGCTTATGCGCTAGAAAATACTTGTACTGGAACTCTTTCCAGAGACACACACAGACATATATATATATATATAGAGCGAGAGAGAGAAACCTGTAGGAGATTTTCTGTGAAAGGAAACTCGGCTAGTTTGCTGCAATTGAAAAGAAGTATATTTGGTGCATGTGAAAAGTTTGATAGATCCGGCAATCTTTGCAGTGAAGAATTTAGTGCAGAAAAAAGGTCAAACTGGTTGGAAGCTCTGGAAGTGATTGGAGCTCTGTACACTGGTTCAAGAGGAGGACTTCAACCTTAGAAAGGCTGCTGATGCTTGCTGGTAGACTTGAAAAATTATTGCCCGCTAAATTCAATAATTTTAAAGAGGAGAGGCTCCCAATGTCTTTTGGAATCGCACCATCAGATAGATAGCAGTCTTGGAGGGACAATTTCGTCAGAGAGGTTAACCCAAACAAAGAATTTGGCAACAAACTTGTGGAATCGGGAAATTTTTTCGGTGACACCAGTGATGAAAAGAGTGAAAGGAGTGACTTGGATGGTGATCCTTTACAGCCACATAGAGATAAATACCGAAGGTTCTTTAAATGCACTATGGAAACTGGTATTTCTTTTAGCGCAGTCTTGTCAGCAAGAAGAACAGTTAACGATTTGATCTCACCCATCTCCTCCGGAAATTTGTCAAATTTCAAGCAGCCTGAGAGCACTAGAATTGCAAGAGCTCTCAACATACAAATGCCTCTTGGGAGATTCCTAAGATTTGCGCAGTCTTTTAGGTTCAGTAATACAAGTTTGTCAAGACTTCCAATGGATTCATCTATCGTTTTCAAACCCCTACAATCTTCAAGTATCAATTTCTCAAGGTTTGGGAGTGTTAAGAAGTCAGTAGTGATTCTAGTCAGCAAATGAGAATGACTTTGATCAAGGATTTTCGAATTTTTGAGAACCTGTTGAAAGAAAAATTTGGATCACAGAATTAGTTCAAAGTGAGATATACAGTTCAAATAAAAAAGGGAAAAATTCAACTATAAGTAGTTAATTCAAAGTGTTAAATATACCTTGTTATACTTCCAGACTTGTCTCAGGTTGCTATATTGCAAGTCAATAGCAACTAATTTCTCTTGATAAAAGTTCTTTGGTATAAACTTCAGTGGGAATCCATGCCAACATAGCCACCTCAATTTTTTAGAAAGATTTTCATAGCCTCTTGTAATGCTTACATAATTGAGTTGTAGCAATCTTACATTGTGCATCCTCGCAAATGCTTCAGCTCTGAAACCTACTCTTTTTGGCCCTTCCAGATTTAAAGCAAGGCCTTCAATTTGGTGTGTTCCCTAATAAAACAGAGCACTTGATAAAAAATGTGAAGCATAAGATATTTATGTCTGTGCAAGTGAAAGTTAATTGATAAAATAAGCATAAGCATTAATGTTTATATAAGTTAAATTGCATTGGTTTCTTCACTTCAACATGCATTCTTGAAAACATATTTGTTCTTGAACTCTTACTGTGCAATTTGTTAGTACATCAAGGACATCCTCACAATGCCACAATCTGCTACGTTGTCCAGGGTCGTCAACAGATTCTTGGCAAACAATTTCCCTTCCCATGTCTCTGAGCAAATCATGCATGATTAACTTGTTAGCTTCGTTTATTGTTATTAGGCACCTACGATTGAGGATACCAATACTGCTCGTTGCGAAAAAACCACGGCCATCGAGTATTTTTGTTACGTAGTCTTTATCCCTTCCGGTAAGGAAATAGGCAATATCAAGGAATATCTTTTTTTAATAATTATCCAATGCATCGAAGCTTATTCTAAGCTGCTCTTGAATTTTACCATGAGGAATTTTTTTCAACTTCTCCAATGCGTTTTCCCATTCAGCTATGCTTTTGAACTCTCTTAGAAAAGAACCCACAACTTCAAGGGCTAAGGGCAATCCTTTGGAGTAACTAACTACATCTTCTGAGAGCTGAGCATAACCTTCTGCAGGATCACATCTCTCAAAAGCGTGCCAACTAAAGAGCTCAAGAGATTCATTGCCATTCAATTCATCAATCATATAATTGTCATTTACTTCAACATGTTCTAGCAAATGCTCGTTCCTTGTTGTTATGATGATTCTACTTCCTAGACCAAAGCAATCTCTTCTGGCGCTGTCTGACTCACAACTAAACGCAATCAGTTGGTCCAGTTGACCCACATCATCAAGAACAAGAAGAACTCTTTTGTTGCATAGCCTATTTTTTATCACCTCGATTCCTCTATCAACACTGCCCACTTCTCTGACTTCTGTCTTTAGTATATCGAAAAGAAGCTGCTTTTGCAAACAAATTTGTGTTTTATGGTGCTTTGAATTCTCTCTAACATTTGCCAGAAAACTTTTGCATTCAAAACTATGGAAGAAATAGTTAAAAACAGCTTAGGCAATCGTCGTCTTACCTATTCCACCCATCCCACATATCGACACCATGCGGACATCACTATTTTCAACACTCAACAGAGAAGTCATGTATTCTGTACGGGTATCAATTCCAACTAGGTGGGTGGCTACATGTAAGTATGTGTGGTTCAATACACTCACAAGTTCTTCAACAATTTTCTTGATGAATTCTCCTTCGTAACTGTTTATGGCATTTCAAGGATAATGGTATTATATTAGACAAGATCAATAAAAATTTGTGAAAAAACTAAACTAAGAATAAAAAACTTAACAAACTCGAGTCAGTTTTCAGGAAGTTTGAGGCATCTGACAAATAATAATATAGAATGCTAAGTGGACTAAAATGTCCACTGGCTATTATATCAGCTATGGAGCGGTAATGTACCATGTTTAGTTTCACAGAGAGGCACTGCAATTGAATTTATGTAACCATGTACCAAAGATGTTGCCAATAAAATCAAAATAAGCATTTGCAGATATAAATACTATAGTAGTTGATTAATTAATTTGGCACATTAATTAACATTACCCGTCAGTGTCATCTAAATCCCACCCTTATAATTCCCGTGCCTCGGCCAAAGCTGCCCTCCAACTTGACATCTGGTTTTTGTCCACCTTTTGATCTTCATATTTCACAAATGCTTCCCCAAAGCTTCCACTTCATTTCCGGACATCTGATGGATTGACTTTGTAAAATATGGGTACCCATTGACAAAGTTGCTTCCTACATTTCATTATCTCCACAAGTTCATCCATACACCATTTGGAAGCCGCATAGTTTCTGAAGAAAACAATTATGCAAATATTGGATCCAAGAATTGCTTCAAAAAGCTCGGATGAAATTTTCTCGCCTCTTTTCAATTCATTTTTATCCCTGAATGTAGATATTCCGTCACCCTTTAGTCTAGAGTAGAGGTGATCGGTGAAGTTCTTGCCGGTGTCTTCTTCTCTGTAGCTTACAAACACGTCATACGTCCATTTTTTAATTGGTGTCGAGGAGGAAGAAGATTGATTTCTGCCTTGTGCGGATGTTGCCATGGAAATGTTTACAGAATGAGACCTATGGTTCTGAATTACACAAGCAATGTGTGAGAAAGGGAAGAGCTGATAGGTGTTCCAAGAGAAAGGAGTATTTTTATTTAAACTAATTTTAAATGTCAATTGGGCACTTTGTCAGCTAATTAAATCATAAAAAATCTCATATAAATATATCGATTGGCCAAAGAAAAATTTAATAATACATCTGGACAAATTCTTGCGCCTAGTGCGTGAAAGAATCCGTCATGGATGGACCATAGGTCATAGAAATATATGTTTGGCAATGTTAGTGAATTGTTTGATTTTATTACATACGAGCACTGCTAGGTGAGACACCTGACTGTCAGGTGTCGGCAATTTTATAATTTCCCTTTACATTTATTATACAGATAAAAAGGCAATGTTTAAATTTGTGTTTACTGATGGTTTCGACCGTCAATCAATGTTAACTGGAGGGAGGTTTTTTTTAATATATATAGTGTAAACTTGAAGGAATATTAGAGTAATTTTTAAAAATTCAAGTATAGGATGTGTATTTTTGTCTAACCATAGAAGAGGTCAATAAAATTTACCAAGTATGTATTAGGAAGATTGTTTGGGATGGTGATAGCATTGACCATGGATCATTGAGGCATGATGTGAGACGACTTTTCCATTATCTTATTTTATTACCAAATTTTAGTTCAACATTATTTTGAATAGGAAAATGATTTTTAAAGCGGCCAAATAATTCGACCTGAAGGAAATTATTGTTTCACTGCCATCAAATGCATTGAAGAGAAATCCTTGTAAGTTCCACTTTACTGCATCTGATGGTTATGGGATAATAAATTAGTTGCCTAGAGTCAGCTATGTTGGATGGTCGTCCTATCTTTGGTCTTTTAATGAGAAAAATGTTAAACATGCTTATTAATTTTTGTCGACTCAACAAACAGATAACTAAATAGTTGTTTGGAGTCAGCTGTGTGGTTGGGTGTTCATTCTTTGCTCTTTTTACATGTTATGATATGTCCCATGACACAATTGAAACACACAAATGTAGTCACAATATTAGTTTTCAAATGTGGCCAAATAAAGTTGTTGTTGTTGTTGATATATATATATATTTTAATAAATAATATTAGCTGTGAAAGAATCAAGTAAGATATTTTTTGGCATTTAAATTAAGAAAAGACAGAAAAGGGGTGCATTTATCATTAAGGGGAGTGTGAATATCATCTCCCCAAGGTATCCCCTACCCAAATTTTACTTCATAAATTGTCAATGCTATGTCGTCATTAACAAAAAAGATGATAACATTCTCATCATCCGTAATAAAAAAGATTCTAATGTATAAGGTGACAGATGATATACATATGATCAAATTATATAAAAATTCAAGTTGTTTGGATAAATTTCAACTACTCTGTGTGTGAGAGAGACCTAAAGGTTCCCAACTCCAAATTTTAAAGGTACTACTACTTTATTGAAATAGAAACAGAAAGAGTAGATTGGTGAGCTAGCGAAATCAGTACTAATACTCTATAAACTAATAATTTTATATGTCAATTGGGCATTTGGGCACCTAATCAATATATAAATATTATCCCTTGAACAGAGGAAAATTTTATAATACAGATGGAAACTACATTGCACGGAAGAATCGGTCGTGGATGGACTGTTGTTCATGGAATTAAATGCCCGTCTCACACCATGTTGGCAAGTTCATAGCAATTACTTAGTCATATTATAGTGCCCCGTGCCAGCTTTGATGTTGCTGTTGTTGTTTGTTTGATTGTTTTTTTTACTTTTGTCTTAGTCATATTATACTACTCTGGGCCAGCTTCGATGTTGTTGTTGTTGTTTGTTTAATTGGTTGGTGGGTTATTTTTTTTTTATTTGACCTTAAACGTACTTTGATGTTGTTGTCTTGCTAAATATATACATGGGAGTCAGAACAATGCTTTTTGTATGTGTGAATGCAAATGGAGTGTTTAAAAGTTGAGTTTACACAATAGAGTTCTCTTTACCCAGGGTAATTTTTCCATTTTGACTTCTTCAAATGGATTTATTGTAAGAACAGAGCTTTTTGTATGTGTAATCTGCAATTTGTTTAATTTATAAGATTGTCCACAAACTTTGGTTGCTCGTAACTTGTAAGATGTGGTTTTCTACATTGTGAAATGTGTATCTTGAGGACCTCATATGCTCTCATTTATATGCTTAGTTGATTTTCTCCAGCATATTCCCTGATTTTCCTTTTTCTCTTGTAAAGGGGATTTCAAGCAAATTTGATATCTTAATTGTGGTTTATGGTAATTGATGATTTCATTTTGTGTTCTTGGTGTTTGCCTGAATAAGGGTAATTGGGTTTGCATTTGTTTGCTATTTTTTTTGCCAACAATTAAAATTAAAAATTCGGATTGATTATAGAAACAAAATTATGAAATTACCAGGTGCCTGAGCATGTGATTATAAAGTCTTTGGTTTAAGGTGTACTGATCATGTGTCTAGATATATCAATATAGATGTACTACTTATCTATATATGAATGTTCTGGCAACAATGCATTTGTACCTTACAAAATCTAACACAAAAACAATGAGCTCAATCTTTTTCACCATCTAATTGATAGGGGTCATTATCAGCTATAGGATCGTCCTTCTTGTCGTTGTCTTTATCCCATATGAAATCATCACCATCCTAATTTGTCTTCTCCATCGTCATCTGCTACAAGATCTCTTAACCACTGAAATCTCCTAGAATATGTATATTGAGGAACAACCACCATCTCATATGTGGAAAGAGTGTGCTCCTCATAAGACCAGTAATGGCATGGTCCTACTGCTTCTTCATCATTACATTTTCCTTTACCCTTCTCTTCTGCATGGCTGAGTCCTGCCTCATCATCATTGTCGTCGCGTTTTCTTTTACCGTTGTTCCCTTCAAGTCGGTGTCCTTCATTGACAACCATGACACCGTCAGTACAACACGAAGAGTTGAACTTGTTCACTTCTTCAATGTCTGTTTTGGTACGCTTCTTAGCTTCAATATACACCGGGATGATTCCACACTTGTTCACAATCAACTCGCAACCTGTATGTATTTCAATTTTGACTTCATCTCCACTATCCACCTCAAATTCTCGAAGAGGTACATAGCCCAATGATAGGTGGTCATGTGGGGTGGGTGCTGTAGGATAAACTGGAGTACGGATACAGGTAACCAAAAGATTCTTGGTCAAATTAGTAACATAAACAATATAGTGTGATGATCCTCTGCTTCTGATTTCGAAATGATGTGCTGCATATATAACACATAAAACGAAGCCTTTCATCATACTCATATCTTGAGGCACCTGAAATGACAATACATTGCCGATGCTCTCAATACTGAACCAATCTGGAATTTCAGACCAGGGGAATACGACCTCATCGAATTCATTACCCCCATATCTTCCATACCATCTCTGCAAAATCACAACGATAATTTGTGAGCTAGACACCTTCACACACACACATGTATGCATATACATCGTGGGAGGGGGGGAGAGAGAGAGAGAGACCTGTAAGAGATTCTCCGTGAATGGGAACTCAGCTAGTTTGCTACAATCAGATAGAAGTATCATTGGGGCGTATGGGAAGTTTGATAGATCCGGCAATTTTTCCAATGATGTATTTGGAGCAGAAATGAAGGTCAGACTTGATGGAAGCTCTGGAAGTGATCGAAGGTTTGTACATTGCTCCAACTGGAGGGTTTCAAGCTTAGAAAGTCTGCTGATGCTATCTGGTAGACTGCAAAAATTGTTGTAACCCAAATCCAAATATTTTAAAGAGGATAGACTCCCAAGGTCTTCAGGAATTGCACCTTCCGATAGATTGCAGTTCCTGAGCGACAATTTCGTTAGAGAGGTTAACCCCACCAACACATTTGGCAATAAAGTAGTGGAGTTAGGAAAGTTTTTTGATGACACCCATGACGAAAAGAGTGAAAGCAATGACTTTGATGGTGAGCCCTTGCAGTGAGATAGAGATAAATATTGAAGGTTCTTTAAATGCACTATAGAAACTGGTAGTTGTCTTACAACAGTCCTGTTAGCAAGAAGCATGATTAACGATTTCATCTCCCCAATCTCCTCCGGGAATTTTTCAAGTTTCAAGCAGCCAGAGAGCACAAGAGTTTCAAGAGATTTCAACATACAGATGCTCCTTGGGAGATTCCTAAGGTTTGAACAGTCTTTCAGGTTTAGTAATACGAGTTTATCTAAACCTCCAATGGATTCGTCAATCGTTTTCAAACTTCTACAATCTTCGAGTATCAATTCCTCAAGGTTTGGGAGCCTTAAGAAGTCAGTAGTGATTGTAGTGAGGAAATGGGAATGACTTAGATTAAGGATTTTCAACTTTTCAAGAACCTATTGAATGAAAGATTCAGAGTAGAATTAGTTCAACTGAGATATATTGTTCAAACCGAAAAAGGAAAAACAAACAAGGAGTTAAATTCAAAGTGTAAATTATACCTTGTTATCCTTCCAAACTTGTCTCAGTTTGCTATACTGCATGTCAATGGCAACTAACTTCTCTTGATAGAAGTTAGTTGGTATTGAATTTAGAGGGAATACATGCCAGCATAGCCATCTCAATTTCTTAGAAAAATGTTCATAGCCTCCAGTGGGGTTTACATTATTGAGTTGTAGCAACCTTAAATTGTGCATTCTTGCAAATGCCCTTAAATCTACCTTTATTGGTCCATCCATATTTAAGAGGAAGCCTTCAATTTGGTGTGTTCCCTGATAAAACAGAGCACTTGATAAAAATTAAGAATCATAATAAGCATTTATGTTTGTGCATGTGTTTCTTCAATTCAACATGTATTATTGAAAACAAATTTGTTCTTTGAACTCTTACAGTGCAATTTCTCAGTACATCAAGGACATCCTCACAATGCCACAATCTGCTACGTTGACCAGGGTCGTCAACAGATTCTTGGCAAACAATTTCTTTTCCCATGTCTCTGAGCAGATCATGCATCATTAGCTTGTTAGCTTCGTTTATTGTTACAAGGCACCTACGACTGAGGACACCAATACCGCTTGTTGCGAATAAATCACAACCATCTAGCACTCTTGTGACGCAGTCTTTATCCATTCCAATAAAGAAGCATGCAATATCAAGGAATATCTTTTTTTGACAATGATCCAATGCATCAAAGCTTATTTTAAGATTCTCTTGAATTTTGCTATGAGGAATTTTTTTCAATTTCTCCAATGCGTTTTCCCATTCAGCTATACTGTTGAACTCTCTTAGATATGAACCCAAAACTTCAAGGGCTAAGGGCAATCCTTTGGAGTAACCTACTACATCTTTCGAGAGATGAGCGTAACCTTCCACAGGATCACGTCTCTGGAAGGCATGCCAACTAAAGAGCTCAAGAGATTCATTATCATTCAATTTCTCCACCATGTATATGTCATTTACTTCAATATGCTTTAGCAAATGCTCGTGTCTCGTTGTTATGATGATTCTGCTTCCTGGACCAAAGCAATCTTTCATCGCACTCTTCGAGTGGCAACTAAATGCAGTCAGATGATCTAGTTGATCCACATCATCTAGAACAAGAAGAACCCTTCTATTGCATAACCTATTTTTTATCACCTCAATTCCTCGATCAACATTTCCCACCTTTCTCACTTCTGTCTTTAGTATATCAGAAAGAAACTGCTCTTGCAATCGAATTTGATTCTTTTGCTGCTTAAAATTCTCCCTAACATTTGCTAGAAAACTTTTGCATTCAAAAGAATGGAAGAAATGATTAAAAACAGCTTTGGCAATTGCTCTCTTACCTATTCCGCGCATTCCGCATAGCCCTACTGTGCGGACATCATTAGTTCCAACACTCAACAAAGAATTCATGTATTCCATACGTGTATCTATTCCAACGGGATGGGTAGCTACATGCAAGTACGCGTGATTCAACACACTCAAAATATATTTTACAATTTTCTTGATGAAGTCTGCTTCATGCCTGTTCATGATGTTTCCAGATAGAATAATGTTATACATATTAGACAAAAATAATAAAAATGAGTGAAAAAAAAAAAAAAGGGAATAAAGTATACAAGAAACTCAAATCAGTTTCAGGAAAGACTAGGCTCGGTAGGTGCAGCCCTCATCCCGCTCATCCAAAATTGATTCACAAGGGAATAGTGAGGAAAGAGGTAAATAATTTAAGAGAGAGAAGAAAAAATCACACTAATGTCTTATAACATTTAATAAAAATACATGAATCTTCTTTGTCAAAGATTTTTGTTAGATTATATTTAAGAAAGTTATTTAAAATATGCTGATCTTAATCGGTGGAAAACTAAAGTGTTATGACACCAAGATGGCTAAAATACCAACTATAGGGCTGTGAAAAAACCGTTAGAACTGTTAATTCAGTCAGGACCAAATCGAAAGTGTGATGGAATGGTTCATAACATACTATGCAAGATCAAATCATATATGAATGAGGATACCAATAAAATCAAATTAAGAACTTGCACTTAGAATCAAAAGAACTATTAGATAATAGTCAAGTAATTTGGCACATTGATTAACATTACCCGTCAGTATTATCTAAATCCCATTCGGACAATTCCCCTGCCTCGGCCAAAGCTGCCCTCCAACTTGACACCTTGTTTTTGTCCACATTTTGATCACCATCATGTTTCACAAATGCTTCCCCAAAACTTCCAGTTTGTTTCCTCACATCTGATGGTTTGACTTTGTAAAATATGGGTAGTATCAATTGTGAGAATTGCTTCCTGCATTCCATTATCTCCACAAGTTCGTCCAGACACCATTGGGAAGTCGCGTAGTTTTGGGAGAAAACAACTATGAAATTATTGGATTCATTAATTGCTTTCAAAAGTTCGGATGAGATTTTTTCACCTCTTTTCATTTCATTCTTATCCCTGAATGTTGTGATTCCGGCACCGTTAAGTCTAGAATAGAGGTGATCGGTGAAGTTCTTCCCAGTGTCTTCGCCTCTGTAGCTTACAAACACGTCATACGTCCATTGTTGAACTGGTTGAGATGAGGAAGAAGTTTTCTCTCTGCTTAACGCGGACTTTGCCATGGAAAATTTTGATCACAGAGAGGCCTAAGGTTGAGCCAAGAGAAAGGAGTACTTTATAAACCCAATTTTGAAAAGGTCAATTGGGCACTTAGTCAACTATTTAAATTTAAAAAATTTAATATAAATATACATATCCCTCGAACAACAAAATTTAGGAATACACAGAAAAAACCTTGCACCTGCTGCTTGAAAGAATCCGTCGTCGATGAACCATAGGTTATAGAAATATCCGTTTAACTATCTTAGCTTGATTTTACTAAAATGCCTAAAAATAAATAAATTAACGATAATATTATTTTCATATATTCATAAAAGGGGTAAAAAGGATTATTTTAATTTGTGTTTGATGATGTTTTCATCCGTCAATCAATTTTAAGAGAAGGGAAGGTTTTTTTTTTTACACCGTATAATCATGCACACGACTCACTAACGGTTACTTGACAAAAATACTATTTTGTAACATTTTAAAATATTTTAGAAACTCAAACACACAATGTAAGGCCTTTGCTTGCACCCTAAAAATATTTTTCGATCACGGGTACTGATCAGTTGCTTAAAAATATTTTTACTCGACCATGAGATGCTGATCAGTCGGATTGCAATATGATGTGTTGTTTTAAGACTTCTATTCAGAAGGAGAGTCTTAATTAGCATGCGACTTCTTGATTCGGCCATTTGGTGTTGAATAATTTGGAAGAGCTTTAGTTCGGCCTCATGGTGCTGATTGGCAGAGTCTTACGAACTAAGAATACCCATAGCTTTTAATTTTATGTTAAATTATTGATTGTCCATTTTTTATGAATTTTTTCAATAGTTATATAATTGTATTTGATGAAAAAAAATTAAAAATGACGAGTAATTTTGGAACTAAACGGGCAGGGAGGGTGCCCACTGGGTGGAAAAAGTTAAACGGGGATAGGGATGGAGCGGAAAGGCCCCTGTTTAGGCGGTTTTGGGCAGGGACCGAATGGGGGTTTTGAAATGGTTGCGGGGGTGGTGGAAAGTACACCCACCCAAAACCGCCCCTATTGCCATCTCTAGTTTTGATTCAACCACCTGGTGCTAATCGACTAGGAACAATGTAGTATGTCGGAGGAGAATTATTTCCACGTGTAGATCACCAATCTTATTCAGCCATGTGGTGCTGATTGACAAGGGGTGTTATAACATGTTTGGGGGCTTTTATTTAAAATTAGAATTCTAGTTAATATATATAGTGAAATATATTAACATAATTCCTTGGTTTAATTATATGGTATAGTGCCATGTCATCAAAGGATTTTATTCCATGTGAGCGATTTATTGGAAGTATGTGCATATATTTTGGATAAGACTTCAGACGAGGGGTGTTTGAATTCAAATAAAAGAATTTAAATTCAAATAAAAGAATTTAAATTCAAATGGAATTGCAAATTACCTTCAACTGCTGTAAGGTTTCTCTATAAATAGCGCTAGGAGAGATTTCCACAAGAGGTCCACGACCACAAGAAGATTTCATTCTCTGCATTTTACTTCATCTTTCCTTGAAATTGTACTTCTTTTCTTAGAAGTAGTATAAAATCCAACATTTCTTGAACTTTTTATGAAAATCCTACTTATGAAATAAAAGTCAGACGCTTGGCTTTAGTCCCCTCTATTTTTATTTTATAAGTCTCTTCAAAAAGATGAATGCTCGTGTAGTTTTTTTTTACTCCCTTAATCCATTCTACTTTTAGTGCTGAAAGTCCTCTTTATTGAAGCGTTGAAGAATCTGAAGGAAGGGGTAATCCTTGCCTTCCAACAATCGCCTAATCCACTAAGGGCCTATTTCAGATTCGGTGAGCACCAACAATAGTTTGACTATCCAACCCCTTGAGTCGAAAGACTCTAGCACGCCCTAAAAGGGCCAAACTACCTTATATGCACAATATGAATAAAAAATGAGGGGAGTTTTTTGTTTGTTTGTTTTTTTTTTTTTTTTTTTGGCCTTTAAATATTGTAATTAATTATAAACCAATTTCACAAGGTTAATCACAAAATTTCCAATTCTTCTACTAAATTATTGATTAATCAATATAAACATATAGTCTTAGAGGGCTCTCTTGTTTCATGTCTAGTGTGATTGTTCACTTCGTGTAGTTAATCTCGGTTTGATATCGAATGAACCTCTATGAAAAGTTAATTGATGAAAACTAAGTCTAAGTTACAGACTCAACTAAGAATCTTGTTCACTTGAATATTCCTACAACAATTACACTTTAACCTTATAATTTTTTTTTTTTTTTCCAGTAAATGTTAAGTGTTAGGGTTGGGGAGCCAACCGCTTAAGTTGAAAGACTCTGGCACACCCCTGTAAAAAAAAATTCCAAACAATTTGGTACGCCTGGTGAGACACCGGAGGTGTCTAAACCCAATCTTTATCTTACTCGGTCTTAGTTGCAAAATTTACGTAAGAAACAACCACAACATCAGGAACAAGAGGCTGAATTCGAAGTGAATCAACAACCTCAACATCAGGAGCAAGAGGCTGAATTCGAAGTGAATCAATAACCAAGCAATCAAATATTGGCTGAAAGCGAGACCAACCAAACGTGAAATGGTCACTATGAACCTTACTATGTACTAGGAGTCAAAATGAGATTATACTAGTCACATCTAACCACACCAGCCCATGGAAGAGGGATTACTACAAACTTGGTTTCATTTGGGACCCTGAGATTAATAAGGGTAAAATGGTTATTTCAAGTCATAATTATGGAATGGGAGCTATACATTAGAAAGATGACACAAAAATTTGCAATTTGGACTCAAGAACGACTCTTTAACGACCCAAAAATTCAGCATGACCTCTGCTGAAAAAGTCCTACTATAACTTACTACAAAAATATAAGAATGCAATGGCCTCACTTGGACCTTAAAATTGATCTACCCTGTCCCAAAGCACTGCAATATAACACATTATTCTAACATTTCATTCATCTATTCATTATACCCTAACATAGTTTATTTCATGGTGTGTAATGACCCAAAAAGATACCAAAATAATAATAATAAAATATATAAAATTTCGGCATGACCTCCGCAGAAAAAATTTCTCTACAACCTGTTGAAATACATAAAAATGCAATGGCTTCACTGGACCTTAAAACTAACATATCTTGTCCCAATGCACAATACAATTATTATATCGCATTCCCAAAATGATTACATTCATATAAAAAAAATCCCGTTCCTCTATTTCATCCAAACAAGGAACACACTTTAGCTATATCAAGTTACAGTCCATAAAATGTAGCTAAAATTTAAAAGTCTATAGCTTACAACATTATACTAATTAAACTAAAGTTTCACAAAATAGTTAAGATTACATTTACAAAATATTAGAGTTTTAATACAAAAGATAGCAAAATAAAATAGATCGTCAATCTCGTCTAAATTTGTGGTGGATCGTCGTCTGCCAACTCTTTTCCGTGTCCTGAAAAATGTTGAAAAATAATGGGGTCAACATAAGCTCAGTAGGAAGCGTCTAAGACACACTTTTTATATCCCCGTGAATTTCACACAAAGAATGGGGAAAAAGGAACGGGGTCATACCATGGGGAATACATATTCTTAACCACAAAAATAAGTATGTAGCAAATGTCAACCAATCACAAATTTCCCACAATGTCATGAAGTGCAATGTTATGTAAATGTCGCTCCCCGTTTCCGAAACAATTCCATTTCAGCAACCAAACTGTTAGTGTAATCCGACCCAAGGCATCTCCAAGGTGTCACGAAAGGTAGGTTGGTTAACTATCCATGACCACAAGGCACCTCCAAGGCGTCGCATCCGGCCTAGTTAACTCAACTACATTCCCTTCTAGACTACACCAACATCACGGACCACTAAGCGCCTCCTAGGCGTCCAGTTTTCGCAACACTTTTAGAAAATATTTTTCCCAAAACAATTTTGTTTGTTCTATATATATATATATATTCCTTTCTCTTCCCAATGAATGCATGAATGCTTGTACTTCAATTTATCAACCCAACCATATAACTTTCACACATACGATACAAGACAAATTTATAAACTACATGATGGAGCTCTCATTTAATATTAACTTTGCATAACTAGCATGTAAAATATGGATTCAATTTCATATAAACATTTAAACATGCTAAATCACCTTAAAACAATTAACAAGTAGTCACATACATTCCATGCTCATCATTTAAAACAATTCTTTGCAAGAATTAGCACTAATTAAACATGCTAGGCATCACTTTAAGCTAGAAACTCACAAAAATATAAGAATTCATGCATTATACCACCCCTACTTCAAATTTGTAGAAAACCCCTCAAAATGGGTCTTAAATTCGAAATCCTAGGGGAGGCCAAAAATTGAAATTGTTTGTACTCACAAGTAAATCTCGCCGTGCTCTCCGTTTTGCCACAAACGGCTCCCAAAAACTCCAAGAGATGAGAGATTAATTGAAACTTGAATTTTTGTAGCAAAAGAAAAAAGAAAAATGAAGAATAAGTGAGAAAGAGAGCAGCTTATGAGAAAAGAGAAAGAATGGGGTTGAATTGGCCCCTTGACCACTAAAGGTTGGAATGGTGGGTCCCACCACAATTGAAATATCTAACCTTTTAATTTAAAATATATATATATAAAACAATTCACAACATTACATTCTCCTCAACTTTAAAAGATTTCATTTCCGAAATCAAGCCATACCTGTGGGAGAAAATAACTCTGGATACTTGGAACGAACCTCCTATTCGAGCTCCCAAGTAGCCCTCTCAACTCCGTGATGCCTCCAAAGAACCTTTACCAATGGTATCGTCTTTTTCCTCAACACCTTTTGCCGTGTGTCAAGAATCTGAACTGGTCCCTCCTCGTAGGAAACATCCTCATCAATGTCAACCTCAATCCAACTCAAAACGTAAAATGGATCAAGCTCGTACTTCCGTAGCATCGATACATGGAAAACATTATAGACCCTGTCCATCTGTGGTGGTAATCCTAGTCTGTAGGCA